CGGAAGCAACCAGAAGACAGCCTAGTGTTTCGGTCAGTTTCTGTGATCAGGGCGACATTAACGACTTGGGTTTTCAGGTGTGCGAAAAGTATCTGTAAGCGTTTGTAGATCTATGTGCGGGTATTGAGTATGCTGCTATGCTATAGCAATCAGTAGGTCTGTCCCCAAGTATTGAACATGCTGATGGAGTATGTTGAACACTTTGTATGGGTTTTGTTAGTTATGTGATCAGGTTCTGAGAATATATGTGTTATGGAGTAGCAACTTGTTCTGCAAGTGGACAGTGTAGGGTGGGGTTTCAGCACTGTGATGTTTGTTGGTGTTGTGAAGGACATTGTTTAGGCCCTTTTGGGCAATGGAGGAGGTGAGTGCCTCCAGGATGGAGTGTTGGGCATCTGAAGCGACGACAGCGGTGTCGATGGGTTATCGGAAGCATGCCAGTTATGAGCTGAGGGCCGGAGAGGGCATACCAGGCTCATGTTGTGGGCTCATAGGCAATCCAGACCTATGCTGAGGACCATGTAATGACATTCCAGTCATAGGCTGTGGGCATAAAGATTGTGTTGGTTATGTCGCTGGTAGGAGTGCGTTCGGATTAGATGTATTGTTGAGATTCGGGAGAGTTGCACTCGGTTGTGACAAATCAGAGGCTGGTGGATGAGACGCAAGGATAGATCCTTGGAACTCAAGTTATGAGTAGACACGAGTCATGTCATAAAGGTATTCCATCCTGAGGATGATCAGACCCTATGATTGATTGGACCTGATATGTTTGGTATTCCAACCCGGGGTTGATTGGGCCAAACATGTGTGGGGATACGAGGGTATTCCATCCTAGGGATGTCTGGACCCGTCGTAGGCATGCCTAGTATTCCAGCCCGAGGCTGATTGGGCCAGGTATGAGTGTTCGTACTTGTTAGCTGGTTGATTATGTATGATATTTTGGGAGCTGAAGGACGCTTTATCCTCTCAGCACAAAGGGTTCGCTTCAAGAATAGGGAAAGTTGGGTTTCCGATACTTTGGATCATCAGGATTTTGCCAGGTTGGCAAAGTGGCAAGTAGAATAGACCTTTGGAAAAGGGTCGGTTGGATTTCGCATCGCCTTTCACGTTTCGCAATTGCGGAAGTGCATGCCGGATGAGGAGGTAGTAGTATCATTGGATGACATTCAGGTCGATGAACGGCTGAATTATGTTGAGAGGCATGTGGTCATACTGGAGAGGAAGATGAAAGTTCTGCGGAACAAGGAGATACCTTTGGTAAAGGTATAGTAGGAACATCGGAGGGGTTCCGAGTGGACTTGGGAGCCGGAGGCTGAGATACGGGAGCACTATCTGGAGTTGTTCATCGCAGCGGACTTCGAGGACGAAGTCTAGTTCAAGTGGGGGAGAATTGTAACGCCTCGATTCTCAGGTATTAATATTGTGGCTTTAATTTTCAAGTTTCAAGGTCTACTCGACGAGTTGGATGCCCTGACTCGTCGAGTAGTAGCGGGTTTGGGACACGTGTTTAAGTGACCAACTCGCCGAGTCGGAAGAGTGACTCGACGAGTTGGAGCTGGAGGGTGAAACCCTAATTTCCGGGGTTTTGCACCCTATTTAAAGAATCATAAGCCTCCTTCAACCTCTTTACAGTCCCTTGAGAGCTCAGCAAAACCCTAATACGTGTGTGTGTGCTCCATTGTGTGTTTTAAGCTTTGGAAGAGGATTCTTGGGAAAAAGAGCTTGGGGAAAACAAGTGGATTGAAGCAAGGAACTCGTGGGAATCAAGATCTACTTCAGTTGGCATCTTTTGGGAAGGTATTAAGCTGTTATCTTAACCCCCATTTCATTCTAGATCTCTTTTTGGTGGATTTTAGGGCTTTTCTAGTATAATAAGAAGCCATTCATGGGTATAAGCTAAGATCTGAAGTTGTAACTTCAGATCTGGACTTTCCTTGGACTCTAAGTCCATAAAGTTTCAGCTTTGGCGAGCATGAACCTTCCATCTAGTGTGAGACTTCTTTGCAAGCTTGGTTTTTGTCATTTTAAGGCATTAGAGCTTTGCATGCACGTAAAGTTTGCAACTTTACGTGATAAACATGCCTTGGGAAGATGGATCGACAATTTGGAGCCTTAGCATGGCTTAAAATCATCTGTATGATGAAGGATTGAAGGGACTCGGCGAGTCATATGAAGATGGTCATGAACTCGCCGAGTTGATGAACAACTCGGCGAGTCCGATGAAGTTTGCCTTGGGCTCGGCGAGTCAGTCGAATGACTCGGCGAGTCGGCTAGGGTTTTTCCCAACCTTTAGACACGCATGAACTCGGTGAGTTATAGGGGAACTCGACGAGTCAACCAAGGATTTCACGACTTCTCGAGTTCAGGAAGGACTCGACGAGTCGGTGAACTACACTCGACGAGTCGGGTCAACATGGACTGTTGACTTTAACTGTGGACTTTGACTTTGACCAAGGGTTGATCAATTGACCTCTGGGGGCATTTTGGTAATTTGGAAATTTATGGAAAAAGGGTTTTATTGTAACTATAGGTGGTGGAGTTTGTGTTGGTGATTCAAGAGTTTGAGCCTATCATTTTCAGTGCGACATTGTGAGGTGAATTATCCTCACTATACTCAAGGGTCTAAGGCACCAAGGTCGGCCCTTTGAATTGTTATTGGTTATGTTATGCTGGTATGATCTGTTAGATCGGTATCCTAGAGGGTAGGATGACATTATGTGACATGTGGTATGACCTGTTAGTTCGGTATCCTAGAGGGTAGGATAATATTATGTGGTATGTGGTACGATCCGTTAGATCAGTTGTTGTCTATAGACTGTTATGTGATTATCTGCTATATGTGCACATGTTTGTTTGGCGGTTGAGGCTTATCTGCTTTATGCGAAAGCCAATAGACCTGGGCATTCCAACCTGTTGGTTGTGGGCCGTGAGTATTCCATCCCGAGGATGACTGGACTCATAGTATGTTAGCATTCCAATCGGATGGTTGAGGGCCTGGGGTATTCCATCCCGAGGATGATTGGACCCATAGTATGTTGGCATTCCAACCGGATGATTGAGGGTCTGGGGTATTCCAACCCGATGGTTGACTGGACCTATAGTCTGTTGTTCACGATTATATGTGTATTATTGTGGGTATGGGTATTTTGGGGGAACTCACTAAGCTTTCGAGCTTACAGTTTCAGTTTATTGTTTCAGGTACATCAGGGGATCGCGGCAAGGCGAAGACATGATCGTACAGCTCCTCATGAATTGTTTATGTTTCTGGGAAACTCTGATATTATACATTTTGAAAACAAAGTTGTAATGATTTTTAATGGTTTGAAATGTTTTTAAAAGTTTTAAATTGGCCTGAATTTTATGGGTGTTACAATCAATACATGCAAAAAGTCTAAAATATCATTTTTTCCCCCATTTTACCCCTTTTTGGCTCCAATACACAACCCACAGGCTTAAATCACTTAACCAAAATTATCAACATCTTATAAGGTCCAAACTTTATCATTTGAATCCCGAAACCCGCTTTCGACTAAATTAAAGTCCGTCATTTCGAAAAGAAACTTCCCGAAGCCGAATGTTACAGATAACTAATTCCAATAATTGTTTGCTTGGTATAAACGCATCGATGATAAAGAAGCTTGTTTTCGATCTACCAAGTGCTTTAATTAACCGCTAATGGGAAAACATTTCAATGCAAAAATATATAGTATTTATTTAAATGTATGTGTAATAATTCCTAAATGCATGTATGATATTTATTTTGATGTGTTAAATGTTATTTTGCTTTATTTAATAAATGGGTTGTTTCAATAATATGATAAGTATTTATATATGAATAATTAGTTATGGTTATAGATTTTTAAAGAGTATGATTTATATAGTTATATTAATAAAAAGTTATGGATCGATTTAGTGTTAACACTATCTTTTACACTATAATTATATGTTTTAGTTTAAAAGACAATGTTATGGGTTGGAGGTGGTCTAAGACAATAACATATCTTAAAAAATCCAATAGGCTTTTAAAGTGAGCTATTAAAGAGTTTTGAAATCCCATTTAGATTTTTTTATAAAATCGGTTTAGTGGTTTAGTTTGTGCAAGTATTTCTACTTTAGAAGAGGTATGTGAGTTTTGGAAGACATATGACAATGTCTATTTTGGAAAGGATGATGTGCAGGTGTTTTGATGTCTGCAATTTTATAAAAAATAAATAACCTGCTAAGGTAATGTTTATTTACCCACATAAAAAAAAATTCCACAAAACAAACACCTAACGTATTTCAGAGAACATAAGATTGAACTATCGTTAATGTTTTTAAAACCCGATTTTTTGTTGAACTGAATTGATGATCGGTTTTCGGTTCAACCGGTTCGACTGTCGGTTCAACCGTTGATCTACATCTAGCAGTGGTGTGCGTCAGCGTTCGAGTTGTGTATATTTCGGATAACCTGGTCGATCGAGCTATTCAATTTTATTTGGAAATTGATTGTTTTTTAATGGGCTATGTGAAATCCAACTATTTAAGTCCAATAAAACAGTTCAAACGATTTTTTACAGGTTCTGTCACGCTGGTTTAACCCAGTTTTTGAAGAAACCGTCCAGTTCGATTCGGTCTAGAAATTGACATAAAACCAATCGTTTTTGAACCGCTCTTCTCTTCGGTTCCGGTCCCGGTCCGACCGGTTCAACCCGGTCGTTCGAACCGATTTTTAAATCATTCACTATCCTATGATTGGGATCACGATCTTAATGACACTATTTTATCGATTAATCCATGAAATTTACCATGACAATCTTAAATTTGTAATAATCAAATAATGGGCTCTATTAAATTAGATGAATATTATTTAGAAAAAGGGGGAAAAAAAAGTAAAAAATATATATTTATGTTTTGAAAAAGATAAATTTGTCCGGAGAAGTCGTCTTCATAACGCAGAAAGAATTGGAATGCAGAATTAAGTATAAAGAATTAGGCAAAGTGGAAGTCAAGTAAGAATCTAAATGTAATACGCGTCCCCATTCAGACGGTGCTTCATGTCTTCCTCCGCCATCAACGCCTTTAAATACCAACTCCCACCGTCGCCTCTTTCCATCCCAACCCTGCTGTTCTCCAAGAAATACAGCCTGTTTATTGTGTTGTGTTGTGTATTGTAAGACACCATATTATTTAGGGTTTACTCATTTCAGTTTGAACAAGTAAAACTCCTAAGAAATGGGTGTGTTATTCGAGGCCAAGGAGGAGCAAGAAAGGGCGGGATTGTTGGAAGATTTCATACAAAAAGCCGGTGGATGCGCCGTCATCGACGGCGGCTTCGCCACACAACTAGAGATTCATGGCGCCTCCATAAACGACCCTCTATGGAGCGCACTTTGTTTAATCAATAGCCCTCATCTCATCTCCAAGGTAAGTAGTACATTACGTTGTTCTCGGTTTACCTGTAAAAATTAGAGCTTTAAATGTAAATGGGGATTTGAATAAAATGTATCAATCAATGAACAGGTCCACTTGGAATATCTGGAGGCTGGTGCTGATATAATCGTAACTTCTTCATATCAGGTTTGTACACACTACACATTACATCTTCATGTCAACCTGAACCCTAATTCCATTGATTTCTTAAGATTATGTTTTAATCGCAGGCTACGCTTCCTGGGTTCATGTCTAGAGGACTTTCCCTTGAACAAAGTGAAGAACTACTCGAAAAGAGTGTCAAGTTGGCTACCGAAGCCCGTGATCTTTTCTGGGAAACTGTTGAAAAGATTCGCGATCATTCATATAACAGAGCTCTAGTTGCAGCCTCCATTGGAAGCTATGGTGCATATCTTGCCGATGGCTCAGAATACAGGTAAACAATTCGAATGCGATATGCTATATAAAATTTGCTTCTTCTGTTTCTCATAATGTTGTTCTTTGAAGTATTTGAATTTCTAATACGTACTCTGTTTTCTTCTACACATACAGTGGGTGTTATGGAGCAGATGTGGATTTGAATAAACTCAAAGATTTTCATCGTCGGAGACTGCAAGTTCTTGTTGAAGCTGGTCCTGATCTTCTTGCTTTTGAAACGATTCCCAATAAGCTAGAAGCCCAAGTAATTAATTAATCACTTCCCTCATTTCCTTTAAAAAATCTTGAAATAATCTTCACAAAACTCTAGATCCTAAAGCTGCTAATCGAACACAGGCAGTTGCAGAATTACTGGAAGAAGAAAACATTGAAATCCCATCATGGATTTGTTTCAGTTCTGTCGATGGTGTAAACGCTCCTTCAGGTGAGAGCTTTGCAGAGTGCCTTGAAGTTATTAACAAGAGCAAAAAAATCGTAGCTGTTGGGATAAACTGTGCTCCACCTCAGTTTGTTCATAATCTCATCCATAAATTCAATGAGGTAAATCAATCGATAATCATGAATCATGATCGATGATACAATTCTTGGTTTCATTTCTTTTTTGTTGAAAATTTGTGATTATTGTGCAGTTAACTGAGAAAGTGATTGTGGTTTACCCAAATAGTGGTGAGACATGGGATGGTGTTGCAAAAAGATGGCTGGTGAGTTTTTTGATTCCAGAAAGATGATGTGTTTGAATGGAAGGTGTTTGTTTATGTTTGCGTTTGATGATGGTTTTTTTTTTTATATGCAGCCATCGAAGTGTTTCAATGATGAAAAGTTCAAGGTTTTAGCGAAAAGATGGCATGATTCTGGAGCTAAACTCATTGGTGGTTGTTGCAGAACTACACCATCAACTATCCGTGGGCTTTCAAAGGTTTTGAAAAAGACGAATTGAAGAAAAGAAATTATAGGATTATATTGTTTAATCAAAGTAGCCATTACTTAAATGAAAGAAGAAAAGGGTATTTAACTATTTACTATAATTTATATGTTGTTCTTGATTATTTCTTTGTTCTTTGACTATCAACAAACTAATATAAACAAGTTTAAAGTGTTTCCGTCTTTCCGATATGTTGCAAATTTGTTTATTCTTGTTATTTATGAATTTTGAAGGGCCGGTTTGATGTTGACCATGTGGTTTGGTCTTTGTAGTTGCTTTGTCAAACTTTGACCACATGGTTTGTTGGTGACACTTGTGATATGTGACATGTGTTGTCCCTCTAATGTAGGTCCACGGCCCTTTTCTTATTAATTAGTTGTAAGACCTATATATTATATATTATTTTATAATCCGTGGGAACCATAATTATAAAATTAATTAAATTTTTATAATAAAAATTTATAATTATTAATCAGTTATTTTAAATAAGTCATTTTAAATAAATTATTAATTAAGAGATATATCAAAATTTTAAAATTATTATAACTTCAAATTTAACATATAATTAGAAAATGTAAATTTGAATTTTGAAATGAGTTGCCTAATATACCTACATGACATAATATTAATGATAGTATTAATGAAGAGTTGTATTAAAGTGAATTATTATAATTGACATGTTTTTTATCTTTTAAATTTAAACAAGTAATTTAAATAACTTTAATTTTGGAATTTTGAAATTAAAATGTAAGTTTATTAATAAAATTGATATCCATTTATTGCAACTATTAAATTAAAATATTATATAAATTTAATAAAATAGAAAAAAAAATCATAAAATGACATGTGGAAAAAAAATAATTCAAAATAACCACAAAATTATATTTGATAAATTGAATGAGTGTGACAAGTGACAAAAAAAAACCTTATTTATTAGAAATGATTAAAAAAATGGTAAATGTTACCAATTTAGTTTTTTTTTTTTTTTTTTTTTTTTCCCTATTAGTTTGGTTGTAGATTTGGTCTTTGATTTACCGGTTTAACAGTGTTGTTTATTTTATTAGTTTGGTTATAGATTTGGTCGTTGGACTTAACCGTGTTGTTTGTTTTGGTCTGTAATAAGACACTCTTCAATTACTATTTTACCCCCATTTTCAAAATTTCATTTTATATATATTTATGAATATGAATAAAGTTATTCGACTTCACTCATATTCCTCCTCTTCATTTTAATTGACCCATATTCCTCTCATTTTCTTCCTGCCACCACTTCCCTACTCCACAGTGTCCTCTTCGTCTCCTCCACTCTTCCCTTTCCTCGCTCACTCTCCCACTCTCGTAATTTAGCACACACCCAATAGTCGATCTCAAAAGTTATCCTGATTCTAAAAGAAATCATAATCAATTTATAGATTGCATTCTATATTCATATATATATTTTTAGCTCGGGTACTACTAAGGGATAGTTGTGAACAATATACAAATCTAATCTTATAATAAGACTTCCACATGAAACCAATTTAACATGATAATTTTTTGGAAATGTGATTTTCTTGAAAAACGAAGAAAGCCGCAAAAGAATTAACCCCCTCTAGCAATATTGAGACCATATAGGAGGATACTTCTACACAAATCATAGCCTTAGCACACTTTAGACTTTAGTGTGGTTATAGTCATCTCTCATGCCTTAATACTTCTATAATCATATAAAAAAAAAGCCTTTACGAATAAAACGAACCACGTACATAATAATTTTGTAGTTTCGATCTAGGCAAAAAATTAATGTCATCGAGAAGAAAGTTTCAATTAGTTTTTTAATTTAAGAAATCAATACAGTAAAGGAATTGATAACAAACCTTTTAAAGAAAATCTTTACGAAAAAACCAAACTCATATCAAGAAGCTAATAAGGAAAATCAAAACAAAAAATCTTTGTTTGAGCATTAACAAGAGTACAAACAAAAAACGACTTGTATGTTCTATCCGATTTATCAACTTATGTGGTCATCCACATTCAAATCTATATCTCTTCCTTATGCTCAAATTTATTTACATTATAAACGCTAGTATAAATCTTGATGTATGCGATTATGGGCGTGCTTGACACGCAACGTTTGGGAACTTTTGGCTTCTAGCTTTTAAGAAAACGCTAGTAAAAAAGAAAAAGTCTCGTTCGGCGACAGGAGTGTTTAGCTTTTAACCTAAACAAAATGCTCCAAAATCAAATGTTATCCACTACCCGCTACCAACTAGTTTTGCCGAACACGCCCTATGTCATTCAATAATAAGGAGATAATTTATCTTTTTCTTTATCAAATATATCATGATATCATAACAAATTCTAAAAACCCTAGCTTAGCATCAAACTAAAGGATGACAAGAGGTGGTGAAACGGCTAGCCGACATCCTTGAGAAAAGTCAGTCATGTACATATCTTATTCTTATTTTCTGATTGTTGCAGATCACGCCGACCATAATTTCATTAGAAAAAACCTACTTTGAGACGGAGATTATAATGATTAGCAAAACAAGATGACGAATGTGTTATTCGCCAAGAACAAAATCGGGTTTGTGGATGGTACTATTCCCATGCTGGAGGAGGTTCATTTGATCTAATGAACCGAAGGAGGTGTAATGCCGGGAAGAAGGTTGGTAAGGGCGATGGAAAAGGGGATCAAAAGCAATATTAAGTATGAAGCCACACCACATGACAGATGACTGGATCTTGAAGAAATATTTAGAATAGAAAATGTTCCAACGACATATAAACTCAAGAGAACTATTACAACGATTTGAAAGGACAAAATGATGGTCAATGTTCATGTTTTTAATGGGACCAATTTTCTGTTTATATTAATCCACATGGATCTTGATTCCTGCATAATATTTATAAGATCTTTCGTAGCAAAACATTTTCTAATCCAAGACCGATTTCGTGTACTGTTGTAGAATCATTGTCTTTTGATTAGTATGTTAATAACATCATATCATCATATCATACTATATTTATATATTATATGTTGAGAGAAAAACTTTGGGAAACACTTGAACAAACGTTAGTACAAGATATGATTGTGGAATAAGTTAATCTCAAATGACCATATCAGCTCAACAATAATAAGTTAGAATTGTTAGAAAGTTAGTTGTGGAAAAGTAAATTGTGAAAAATGTAAAGGAAATATAAATAGCAACAAGTTATATCAAGTATACATCAAACTGATTATTAACACGGTTTGGAATCAAACACGAGTTAGTAAGTGTGATCAATTTAAGATGAAGAGGATCTTGGATGTAACATATAGATAATAGAGAATAATCTTTATAAAAGATTTCAACAGATCATAAGAAGAGATAAGAAATGATAAGAAGTGGTAAGTTTTCATTGAAGAATAGGACTCTATTTATAGAGTCTCAAAAAGTTACATAGTGAATATAAAATACTAAACTACTGACTTATCGTGACCATGCAAGGTTCATTGGTTAATACAATGCTAATAAAACAATTCAGATGATGTAACTAAAAACTTCATTGCGGATGAGAAAACTGTGGTTGACATCTTCATGTTGCAGTTGTGCTAGCCAAACAGATTGCGGTAGGGAGAACAGATTGTGGTAGGAGATACGGTTGCGGATCATCAAATTTAAGAGGGTCACTTTATGTATCAACATTATAAATGAAGTATTTTTTCTATCAACATATGCATTTAAAACATCCATGACATTTAAATTTTCAACTTATTATAATTAATCTATTAATTTAAAATATGTTATTAAATGCAAAATATTATCTTATTATTGATAGACTTTTAAAATGATTATTATAATATATGTATTTGTTAATTTAAATATTATGTTAAATCTAAAATATAAATCAAAATATAAAATAAACTTAAAAAAATATATTCAAATACTATTTTCAAAATAGTTAAAAAGTATTAAATATTGTAATGTAGAATAACAATTTAAGCTAAATAAAAATATCAAAACATTATTTATTTTTTAAATAAGTGGTTTTTAATTGATTAAGAGAAAATTTTAAATTGTTTTAACTTGCAAAAAATTTGTCTATATATCAATTAATCATCATGATCTATTTTTTTTTTTAAAAAAAATCAATAGATAAGTAATTTCTAAATTAATTAATCATAATGCTAAATTATAATACTAAATCGAAAATCATGTTTAGTTTTATTTAAACACAAATCGTGGGTAGATGCTATGTAACTATATGATTTTAATAGATGTGTATTTTATTATTTTATAATATGGTTCAAAATAATTAGAAATTTATATCAACTTAATATAAGAGTTATTATTTTATAGTTAATGTCTAATTATCTTAACATGTACATTCAAAAAAATTAATTATATAGGTTATTCTTCGCAATGCGCAGATATCCGCTCAATACAAGATAATGATGGTAGCGGTGCTGCCACTAGCTCTAATGTCAAACCATAATTTTTTCTTAGTTATGAGCAATATCAAGCCCTTTCTATTTTTTCATCAATAGAAGTTTAAGTCCCTAAACTTTTTCTTCATATAAAGTTATACATTCTATTAGGACACCTTGTACTGAAAAATAATTTGGTGCACTATATCTGTATCCTCGATCAACCATTTATGAATGTGGTTTAAAGTCCATTATCCATTTCTCATAATCATATTATACATATATTAGAATAAGTATCTAAATAGATTTAATGATTGCAATTAGAGAGATGTTTTCCTCTTAGTCTACACTATGAAAACATTTCACCAATAAGCATGCATTAAAGGTATGTAATTTTATGACCCGATAGATCTTCACTTGGAAAATCCATTTGTACTCAATAAGATTAGTTACAACCAGAGAATCAAATAAGTTCTATGCTGGGTTGTTCTTCATGGACTATTTCTCTACATTCATGACTTCAAATGATTTATTAGATTTTATATTTGATAGAGTTTCTCGATGGCTAATTAGATTACCATATAGATTCTACAACAAGAATTAGACATCTCTATCATTAAGTAGTTGGAGAATTCCATCAATGCTATGAATTCTTGGTGTTTCCAGATGCGTATTTATAACTAAGTTCTTAGGACTGACATGTTATCTTCTGGTGACTATTGAAGGTTTTGTATCTATTAATTCTCAAAATTTCATTGAGATCTACATGGCTATAACATGTTAATTATAATAA